GATGCCCGTTCCCTCGACCGGACGATTGCCGAAACCGCATTGCAACGTGCTTATGGCACAATTGCGGGACTACTTGCACACTGCAGTACCAGCTCCATTGATGGACGCCGGAGCAAAGGTTGTCGACCTTCATGTTTTCATCGCGAAGATCGACCGCGAGTTCAAGACGCAACGGTACGACGACATCGACGCACCATTGCTATACATACGCATTCAGATCGGAGAGGCGACCTGCAGTGCCTTGATCGATTGCGGAGCATCTCGCAACTACACCAGCCAGGACTTCATGGTACGCGCCGGTCTTGGCCCACTTGTCCAGAGGAAGTCCCAGCCTACGCAAGTCACCCTGGCAGACAGTCATACGCACAAGTCCATCGACTGGTGCATTGACGCCGTCCCAGTGTACTTTGCCCCTCACGCAAGTGAGGCGGTGTCCTTTGACATTCTGGACACCAAATTCGACATGATCTTGGGCATGTCATGGCTGCGAAGCAAGGATCACCCGGTGAACTTCTTCAACTGCACCGTTCACGTTCGTGACCGGAACGGAGTATTAGTTCCATGCACGGTGCCTCTTCCTCATCCTTTGATCAGCTGCCACGTGGTATTCGCTGCAAGCATGCGAGCTTCCATCATCAGAGACGACATCGAGAAAATGAGGGTGTGTTTTCTCCACGCCCTCCCGCCCCATGACGCTTCATCGACGGACTCACCTTCGGATCCACGCATCACCAAACTTCTCGACGCCTACAGCGACGTGTTCGAAGGCCCGCACGGAGTAGTACTGGACCGACCCATCCGCCACGAGATCATCCTCGAGGACGGGGCCGTACCTCCGCGCGGTTGCATCTACCGAATGAGCGAGGAAGAGTTAAGTGTGCTTCGGGCACAACTCGACGACCTTCTAGAGAAAGGCTGGATTCGGCCTAGCTCATCGCCATACGGTGCTCCTGTTCTCTTCGTCCGGAAGAAGAACAAGGACCTGCGGTTGTGCATCGATTATCGCAAGATCAACGCGCAGACGATCAGGAACGCCGACCCTCTCCCACGCATCGACGACCTTCTCGAGCGATTGGGCGACGCCCAGTTCTTCTCTAAGCTGGATCTCAAGTCAGGGTACCACCAACTCGAGATTCGCAAGGAGGATTGCTACAAGACCGCGTTCAAGACACGGTATGGGCATGTCGAATGGCTGGTCATGCCATTTGGCCTTACGAATGCCCCGACCACTTTCCAAGCAGCTATGACAACGGAGTTCCGACACATGCTGGATCGTTACGTACTTATCTACCTCGACGACATCCTGGTGTACAGCCGGAGTTTGGGGGAGCATGTGGAGCACCTGCGCACCGTTTTGGAGCGGCTACGACAGGCCAAGTACAAAGCCAACCACGACAAGTGTGAATTCGCGCGGCAGGAGCTGGAGTACTTGGGCCATTATGTGACGCCGCAAGGCATCCGTCCGCTCGCGGACAAGATCGAGGCCCTACGAGTATGGCCCGAGCCCACCAACACTACGGACGTTCGTTCATTCATGGGATTGGCGGGCTACTATCAGCCATTCATCACCGGATACTCCAGGATTGCTGCACCTATGACGAGGTTACAGTCGCCAAAGGTGCCATTCGTATTCGATGACGACGCACGCCGGTCATTCCAAGCACTTAAGACGGCTATGCTCATGGCACCCGTCCTTAGCATCTATGACCCCACCTTGCCGACGAGAGTGACTACGGACGCTTCCGGCTACGGCTTTGAGGCAGTCTTGGAACATCACGACGGCGACGACTGGCACCCTGTGGAGTATTTCAGCCACAAAGTGTCTCCCATCAACTCGCTTGATGATGCAAGGAAGAAGGAGCTACTCGCGTTCGTCATGGCTCTCAAGCGATGGCGGCACTTCCTCCTTGGGCGTCGTAGGTTCACATGGGTTACAGACAACAATCCATTGACCTACTACAAGACGCASGATACGGTGAACAGCACGATCGGACGATGGATGTACTTCATCGACCAGTTTTACTTCACACCGAAACATCTACCCGGCCTCTCAAATCGTGCAGCTGATGCACTCTTGCGAAGACCAGATCTTTGCGCTATGACACATCATGCCTTCGCATTCGACGACGAGCTTCAGCGACACTTCATCCGGGCATATGAGTCTGATCCAGACTTCGGCACGCTCTATGCGCAGCTATCTTCGGATCACCCGCCGGCCAGCCATTACCGCATTGCCGACGGGTACTTGCTCCTCCACTCGAGAGGCAAGGACTTACTATGTGTCCCACGCGACCGTCGTCTTCGGACTCGCCTCCTCGACGAGTATCATGATTCACGACTTTCCGACCATTTCGGAGTCAACCGCACTATTGCACGGCTTCGACAGCGATTCCGATGGCCCGACCTCATTACCGATGTCACTCGGTATTGCGACTCTTGCGAAGTTTGC